GCCATGGATCTAAGAACCTATAAACGGAGCCCACGACGCGGGAATTACCAAATTTGCGGCAGATGGGCTCTATCTTTATAATATATGCGGCGATCGAGTCTTTCCGTCGCATACTCTATGAATCTAGATAGACCATAGTTACAGTCTGTACGCACTAACACCTACTTCGAGGCGTGCTGTCGAGTTATATGTATATAAAAAAAAATAGCTATACAAGCTTTGCCTATGTTCGGCTGTCCAAAGGTTTACATGTTCAAGAAATTATTTTAATTTTGCGTCGCCTCCGAAAAGATTGAAATGTATTTAATATACTACCTAACGAGTAAATAGGTTTCATTCATATCTATTACATAATTGTATGATTGAATAAAATAGAAATTACTTCATTAGGAAATAGAAATTATTTTATACTTTTTAGTGCATTTCGAAGTCGGCGTATTTTTTTTCTTAAAATTATTTTTCTGTAATATATGTCAAAAAGAAAATGATTCATAATATGTTAGTTTTTATGAGCTATTCTTAAAATTATCTTAATATAAATATTCTCGTAAATAGAAATCAGATAGTATGTTTTTACATTCTATTATGTTTTACATATAAAATCTAACAATTTTCATATGAAACACTTCTTCACATTTTCAGTAGTTGAAGGAGATAATAGCGTTTATGCATTAAAATCTAACATGCGGTGCATTAAATTTATTGTCAGTTGACAGAAAAACACTTACTGAAACAGGTGAAAGATAAGTAAGAAACAATGCAGGAACCAGGACACTCTGGGCGAAGATCTGGTGGCAAAGAAACCGTAGTAATCGACGGTCTCGGTGTGGGCCTCGGCCTTGGCCTTGTAGTCTGATACGAAGAAGATGGTGTAACTACGTTTATTTTCTATACATCAATGATAAATTTCAATTTCCTTTTGCAAGCATTATTCATTATCTTACTTGTTTCAATTTAATCGTTCCTTTAAAAGGATTTTACGGAAAAGAAAGAAATAGAATCACCTGTGGAGAGCTTTTTGTGTTGTCACAGCAAATAGATCCAGACTGGCAAGTTGATGTCTTCGGTATTATTACATTCGGTCGTTCACAGAAAGCCGCCATAATAGTCAATAAACAAAATCCTGGACACGGTTGCAATTTTGGTTGTGATGGCTTCGGTGTTGGTCGGACTGTTGTTGTTGTTGTTGTCGTTTCCTAATTAATAGAATGAACACAAACTCATAAGTTTAAACGAAGTTTGACTTTTATCTCTATCATATAATTTTGATTTTTGCATCACATTTATCTATAATTTTTATTAAAATTCAGGAGAATCGAGCGATTCATATTTTTTTTAATATTTTCGAAAAAAATTTAGTAATGTTGTATGTTTCCATATTTTGGATAGGATAGTTGTTAAGAAAAATAATAAAAAATAGAGCGGACACTTCCTGATAACCTTGAAAGAATATAGAATGTTGTTCGGCCGCGAACCGAAACCTATGCCGCGGCTAAGCAATTTATTGCAGGGCCCAAGCGGTCGCCGCGTAGGCCACCGTCTATTGTCTATCAGATCCGGTCCGAACGAATCTTTCCGTAGACATGTACACACCATAAATCAGCTAACAGCTGAATTTTTCGTTTTAAAAACAGTTTTGGGCAAACAAAAGCATAGAGTTCTTCCTAACCGTTACCTACCTCTCTTTTTAAACAATTTTAACGAACGAAAGCATAGAGTTCTTCCTAACCGTTATCTTCGGAAACGCGAGGGTATTTAGGCGATCTTTCGTACAACAAAAAACACAGTCGAACGTTGAAGCTTACACGGTTCGGATCGAGAGTCGAAGAAGTCAATCGTGACTTAGAAGTTTCCGCGTAACGCGACGTAGCATAGCCAATGCAGGGTGGTTCGGAAATCATTCACGACGCCATTCGAGTGAGACCCTGCACTCCTCGAATGGGCCACGGTAGGGTGGTTAAGTCACACACTGTATACTGTTCGTGCGAGTCCTACACCCTCGAACGGGCCACGGTAGGGTGGTTAACGTACATACACTGTACACTGTTCGGGCGAGCCCTACACCCTCGAACAGGCCACGGTAGGGTGGTTAAACGTACACATCAACATGATCCGAGTGAGTCCTACATTCTCAACTCGATCATCGTGAATGATCTCACGCAACGTGAATTATCACTCAAAACGAACAACGCTGAGCAAGACTCTGTTCTCCTCAAATCGAACGACATTGAGCGAGACCTTGTTCTCCTTAAAACGATTCTCATTCAATACGCAATCAACACAACGTACACATACTCGTACACATTTTCACCGTAGAGTCATTAACGAAACATATTTTTGTAAGGGGTTTTTATGCCGCAAGGCTTTTTCCCCTAATTCGAATCGCTAGAGCCAATAAACGATCACGATTTTTCAGGCTCAATTGTGTCTAAACAATTTTTATTTACCCTCTTCCTCAATCGAATTCATATATTCCTTGAAACACGAAATTTTTCCATGTTGGACAGATTTCGACGATACAAATGTTATATTAATTATCAAAAGTATGTGTTCATGGATTCAAACGATTGTTTTAGTCACACTATTTAACATGCAAACAGCAAAAGGAATAATTGCAGTACATAATAATAATCATCCTTTGAAGTACATATTAGAAAAATAAATAAAGACAACATATAATTTATAAACATATAAGACTTAAAAAGATGGATGAAATTGGTTTCGCTATAGCTTTAGGTGCCACAAATTCAACAGTTTTCGTAAATTGAAAAAACAATGTTTATGTATTCCAAAAAATATAAGCGGAATTTATTAAATATATTCTAAATCTAAGTTAAGTATATACCAAACCTGTAATTATTATTTACAATATAAAATAGTTTTGCTTATATCTCTGAAAGTAACATCGAGTAATAGTTATATACATAGAAAAATGTTACTCGCAACGTTAATTTTGAAAACATATTACAGAATCGTTCAAATTAATGAAGTGGACCTTTATGTTTGCAATAATCTTACAAAGGACATTACCCAATTGATACACGCCGATTTTGATGAAATTTTTATATGTTATAGAATTCGAAAAAATATTTGACACGTATTTTCTTTTATCGGCAAACATCCACTTTGAAGTGGTGAAAATAACCCTTAAAGTTGGGGTTGAAAAAACTATTTTCGCAAATATGTCGGAAACTATTAGGCCTAGATAAAAAATTCAAAGTGCAAATTTTTCTGTTTTAGAAGGCCAATAATACGGCGTAAGTAGGTTTTTGAAAAATGTATTTGTTTAAAAAATATGTTAAAAATTAACATTATTTTGTAAATTTTTTTAATGAAACGTTGTACCATTTTGATCAAATTTCACATACATAAGCTATGGGTCCAAAGAAAAAATATGGATAAATTGGAATTTTTAATTTCGCTGGTGGAAAAAATATTACTGTCGTTGAAGTTGCACGTACATTTTACAATCTTTAACAGCTTATAACCGTTTCTGTTCTAAAACCCGGCAAAAATCCACTAGACACAAACAACTACAGGCCAATTGCTCTAACCAATACCACTGTGCAAGTTAATAGAGAAAATCGTCAACTTAAGACTCAGATGGTTACTGGAAATTCTCATGATCTATTATCTACGATCTTATTAACCTCTTATTAACAACCTTATTAACCTAGAGACGATAATACTTGACGTCTTTGTCAACAAACAACATACAATCGCTGTAGACCTTGACATAGAAAAGACTTATGATATAGTATAGAGAAACCGTATTCTAGGAATCATCCAAAAACAAGGTATGAAAGAAAACATCTTTAATTTCATAAAAAGCTTTTTGGCTATCAGAAAAAACCGAGTAAGAGTCAATAACATCCTTTCCTCCACAAAAGTAGTGGGCATTGGAATCCTCCAGCATTCTGTCCTAAGCGTCACCCTATTTCTAATTGCCATCAATGACATCTTGAATAACATAATAAGCCCAGCTTTAAGCCTACTATTTACAGATGATCTTACCATAATATGTGTTACGTGAGTGTTGTAAATCTGCCCCAAAACGCGTGTTGCGTGCGGAGCTCATGTAAAGGTGAGGGGACGAACGAGCGCGAGTTAGATATGAGCCGTGCGGGAATAAAGATACATTCAAAGAGGTCCGCGGAATTGTTATTCGACAAAACAATCTGACAATATGCAAAAGAAGAAACCCCCTAACCTCTCAAGTACTACTCCAGGAAATATTAAATAAGCTTGAGAAATGGTGCCTTATCTCAGAATTAAAACTCTCCACCTCTACATCGAGAATAATTCGAGAAAAATTCAACTAACGCTCTGTTCGCGCAATGGGTAAATATGAACTTTCCGTGGGCTGGTCTCGGAGGTTATAAATCTTCCACCCATTGCGTTTCCACATCTTGTTACGGTGATGGAGATTATATATTAAACTGTTTAGACTTGATCTTATAAGAAAGGATTAATTATAGTGGCTGAGAGGCCTTTGGACTGGTGTGCCTAGATCAACAAAGGTTGCAAATCATCATCTCAAAAGTTGATAGGCTTCTTCGATATAGAGAAAGCAAATTGTAAATTCCTAGTGGATTCAGTTTGGTTGTGAGTTTGTAGTGGAATCAGTTGGTGAATTCGCAGTGGCTCAGGAATCTTCACACTGTAGTATGTTTAAATCAACGGAAGCTGCGTTATCCGCCCCATGTGTTACAAATGTTGTATAATTCTATTGCGGGCTCGTGTGGCTCGGGGATCGTCACAAAGCTGATCAGATCAACAGAAGTTGCGTTATCCGTCCCACCTCGTACGTCATATACCCTCGTGTCTTGAGTGATAGTGGTATATCACTTGAATCTCTTATATTGAATGTTGCGATGGTTTGTAAAAGTGTGTGCACTTTATCAGAGATTTACCAAGACTTAGAACGAGTTGCCCAGAAACTGCAAGACTAGAGAGGATTAAAAGGTCGGGACGTAAAGACGTTTACCATAAAGGACGAATCAGAATAGTTTGTAATTTGGTAAAAACACTGATTGGTGAAATTACTTAGCGAATGGGAACGCGAGACTTTTAATCCTCACTCTAAAGTTGTTGGTTGATATAGGTGACCCAAACACTTGAGTAATTTAGGTCTTTCAAAGAAACTCGGCAATGAGGTACACCGTGAGATTGCTGAATAATCGAGTTCGAATGCATTGGCCCGTCGCGTCGGGTAGACAAGGACTTCTTAGACACTGTACCCTGCAAGGGTGCATAGTTTAGGATAAAGGAAATAGAGGAAGATATACTGGCACTAGAGTAATATGCTTTTTGGCCTGTTATAAGGCTGTTGACAATAGTTTAGAACGTCAAGTTGTGGAGATGTTCATGTCGTTTTAAGTATCCAATTAAAATTGCATGAATGAAACGTAGGCACGTTTTGGGTTTGTCTGGATACCCATAAATATTAAGCCAATGTTATTTCGAGTAACGAGAATGGTGCAACTCGGAACACGCTCAATAACCAAACCCTCCCTGAAACATCCTTGATTAAACTACTAAGCTTAACTTTCGATTCACGATTGGCATGGAACTTCCATATTGCCAAATTAAAAGCCGACTGTTTTCAACATCTAAACATATTCAAAATAATAGCAGCAAACAACTGAGTAGCTGACCTAAACACCCTTTGGTTAACATACAAACCAATAGTTAGATCGAAACTATAGATAATTCACAATAACGCACTAACAAGGAAAGGCACGCAAGTGTTCCCCTCCGATTTTGATGAAACTTCGTAGGTTTGTTAAGCAGGCAAAAATAAGGGACACGTATTTTTTTTTATCGGCTGAGACGCGAGTTTAAGGGGTGAAACGAGCCCTTAAAGTTTCGACCCCTTTTGGCTATCTCGAAAACCATACGAGATACATTAAAACTTCTAATAGAAAAGTTGTATGGTTTCTTGCGTATAATAACAGGATGTTAACGGATTTTGCAAAATACAATTTTTTTATAACAAAAAAATTTTTCATAACCTTATTTTACAATTTATTCAAATTTGTATAATGACAAAAAGTGTAGAGAATTTTATTACAAATCCATTGGTATATATATATACGATATTGCCTCCTACAATTCCTCAGATTTTTATTATATACATTACGCGTGCGTGCCTGCGACGCGCCGCACGATACTGAACCGGATCATATTGGACGCT